TGTACACCTTGTGTGGTTTCAGGGATAAAGAAATGGAGGTACAGAGAGTGATGTGTCCAAAGTTGCCTAAAAAGAAGCACACAGTCAGAGCTGATGCTGACCAGGGCAGGACCACATGGGAGGGCTGCCCACCCCAGCTGGGCCTGCAGTGAGTCTCTCTGCACAGAAAGAATTATGGCTGGCACTTGTTATGTGTCAGGCACCGTTCTAAGCATTTTACAAGTATGAATTCATTTAATCCTCATAACCATCCAATAAGATGGCAGTGTTATTATTCCTATTTTACAAAAGAGGAAACTGAGTCATGGAGAAAGCATGGAGGAGCCAGGGCTGGGACTAGGGTGAGGCATGGGAGGCAACTGGTATAGGCATGAAATTGAGGGAAATGCCACCCAGAAAAAACCTTCAGGAATCAAGCCAAATAATATTTTCATGTAATAGTTTTAAAATAAAAATTAATGCAAAAAATCAACTGTGAACAAAATGTCAACATTTTAAATAAAGACAGGATCAGTATGGAAGTCATTTCCAGCCTAGACCACCCAAACTATAATTAACCTGGAGACCCATAAGCCTAGGAACAACTGCTTGCTGTTGGGAGCCACGGGATTTTGGGGTGGTTCGTTACACAGCATTGTTGCAGCAATAGCTGACCAATACAAAAAGTAATTTGCCTAAGCACCCTCAACTGGTAAATGGCAGAGCTGAGATTTGGACCCAGGCAGTCTCAGACCAGAGTCTGTGTTATTAACAATTAAAAATGGTCTGCCTTTCTTGTTGAAAAGCATGTTAAGGTGTGTTTACAGGACACCAGGGTTTGTTCAATACTTATACTGGGCTCTGACTCACTTTCCTGCTCAGTGTTCCATTTCCTAGATGCGCTTGGGGGTCGGGGGTCCCTCGTAAGTGCCATTGCCCATACCCCTTTTATCCGGTGGATGACCCTGGTCCTGGCCCCTTCATTTTGGCTGAGACTCTATAAAGGTTGACCTCAGATTCCAAAGTAAGGTGCCCAACCAAGAGCAAAATGTCCAAAGCATATGGCCAAGAGCCAGCCACTGGACTCTCATACATACTTCTCACCTTGGTCAAAGATATACCAATCAGGGCCGAGCCCATGGTGCACTCAGGAGAGTGCGGCGCTGGGAGCGCAGCAGCACTCCCGCAGTGGGTTCCGATCCTATATAGGGATGACCGGTGCGCTCACAGCGCTCACTGGCTGAGTGCGGTGCAGCCGGTCTCAAAAAGGACAAAAAAAAAAAGATATACCAATCAGCAATAAGAGGATTTCATGGGAAAGAGAAATTCTGGAGAGTGCTATCATGTGCTATAAGTGTGTCTGCACCTCAACTGAAGCCTAGAGGACTTGACATGTGTCCCTGAACTGAGGGCCTCTGTGGACCTCTGGTTGTCCTTTCCCTGATTAATCTAATGGGTGATAGACTGGCTGGGCTGGATGATTAGGGCTGAGCTCAGATCAACTTATACTCTTGGAGTTGGTAGGGCAGAGGATGTGAGTTTCCTGAGGACCAGATGAGGGATAACCGCATGAGAGGAAGCTGCATGAAGAGGTCTCGGGCCCCGTTGGAGAGATCATCCCAGGGGGGCAAGGCCTCCGCACAGAGTCTAAAGGCATCAGGAGATCCCTAGGGGCTTGGGAGGGACTAAGCAACCAACCCAAATAGAGATGTGAGAGATTCCTAATGACGGCAAGTGATCTCTGAAGAATCTACAAAATTACCCCTGAGATTTTAATGCCATCATTAAACATCTGCCATGCTCTGAGCATGACACCATCTCCCCACAATGCCATAATCACCAGGCAAGAAAGAACGTCCCTGCTCCCCTGGCCTCTTCTCCCTCCAACCCAGGACCCACCTGTCAAGAATGGAGGGAAGAGAAACTGCAAGTAGGTAAAGGGGGAGAGGGCAAGTGAGAAAAGAGAGCCGTCCACCCCTCTCCTGGTTTCTGGCTTTTTGTGTGCTGTAGACCACAGCTGGGGGAAGGAGGGAAGCCTTTCTGTGAATGAAGACTAAAAGTTTTTGATATCACTGGGGCCAAGGATTTTTAGTTGAGACTATATTTGCCACTTTAAATGCCTGTGGTATGTTTCATTTTCTAAGAAAGATGAAAAAAATCATGGAACAGTCCAAGTTTCCATCTAGGGACAGAGGAAAGACAAACGCTCGGAGCCAATTCAAAGAAGCCGTGGGAGACTGGAGCTGCTTTCTGGTTATGTCTACTGAGTGGAGCTGGTTTGAAGTCGGATTGTACATGGTGTCCTGTGACTGGACTGCAGCAATAGTGTGGCTGGTGGAGCCTGTTGGCTGGCCAGCCACATCTGTCCTCCTCTTTTTCCACAGTAAAGAGTCGCCACCGGATATGGGGCCACTTAGCAAGGAACTGCATTACATCTCTCAGCCTTTCTCGTAGGCAGGTACAGTCACACGACTGAGATCTTGCCAATGGAAGTGAGTGGATGAGATGTGTCCATGGCCCTGAAAACAGCTGGTGTGTGTACTCCCCACCTCTTCCCCTACCCCTTGGGCTGAGCCTGGATGTGGCAGTGGCTTGAATCGCCCAGATAGTGACGAGATCCTAGAGGTGGAAGAGCCTGAAAAAGGAAGAAGCCTGAATGACCAGGGTGAGCAGAGCAAACTTCTCTTGAAAGAGAAGTCAAGTTCTTCTGTTGCAGTGGCTCGGCCTTTTACTGTGAGTAGCAGAGCATCCCACTCCCAGAGCTCTTGGAACCAAGTTCAGACCCTGCACGCCTCCCTGCTGGCCTCTCCGTCCTGAGAGGAGGCCTCCACTGGCTCAGTTATGGAAGGCCTGGAGACAAAGCATGCTTGAAATCAGATGTGGATTCTAGCCCAGCTCTGCCATTTCCTGGCTGTGCAACCTTGGGCAAGTGACTTTACCTCTCTGAGCTTCTGTTCCCTCATATCTCAAAAGGGATTCATAATCCTTCCACATAGCTTTGCCATGAGGATCCAACGAGAGGATGCAGGTAAAAGGCACAGCACAGTGCCTGGTGCATAGTAGGTCTTCAGCAAAGGTCAGCTCCCTTTCCCTTCCCCCATGCCTGGAAGGCTTTGCTGCGGGGCCCCTGGCAGGCCTCCCATCGGCCCCCGCCAAGCCCTGACACAGAATAAAGTTTTTCTTTTGAGTAAGTGACAGGTTCAGGGAGGCGGAACAGAACAAGTTCTTAGAGTTCACAGTGCAGAATTCTCTGAAATCAGATTCCCAAGGCTCCCTTCCCAGGGTCGGGGATCAAGCTGACTCTCCCGGGCTTGTCTCTGAACGAGCTCACCATGAGGGGAATTTTCCTACAAACTTATTCTCCCATCTGTCCCAAGCTGAGAAGACATTTGTTAGGGAAGTCTTTCTTCTCCAGGGAGAGAACTGTGGGTCACAGGGAGTAGCGAGTGGGGATAGGGCTGAGGCTGGAACAAGCGTGTTCTGTTTAGCAACGATCAGAATGTTGTGGATTATGTAATGAGAATATTAATTCCTTCTTGCAGAGAATGTCAGGGCTGCAAGAGGCTGTGGGTGTGTATGTGGTCTGGTCTCCCCACCTCCCCTTGACTGATGGAGAAACAGAGGCAGGAGAGGACGTGACACATGAACAGTCCCAGAGGGAGGATGGAGTGGCAGCAGGACCAGCTCTATAGGACACATCTGGAGGGCTCACTCGGGGCACCAGCTGCCTCCCGTGTCTAGCCCTCCATAGGTGCAGTGCTGACTGCTGGGCAGAAGGGGTGCTCACCTACATGTTTCATGTTTACAAAAACCAGGTCCTAGAACATGTCCCAGTGACTTGCTAGTGTGGGAAAGGGATTGGAAGGAGCCAAGCCCTGAAGTGGGCAGAGGCTGGGAGCCAGGCCCCCAGGTGAGCAGAGGTTGGGAGATGGGCCCCCAGGTAGGCAGGGGTTGTGTCCCTGGGTTATGAACTCCCAGCAAGCAGGGACCTGGCCCTACTTCCTGCCAGGTCTCCACCTCCAGGCCTGGCACCTAACCATGCACTGTGGCATTGGCTACTGTGACAATAGACCCATCTCTATGTCCCAGAGGCAAAATCCTTCCTCACTCCCCTGGAGAGAAGACAGCCTCTGGTTTCCAATCCCCGATCTGCCGCTCACCAGCTGTGCTATCTTGGACAAGATATGGAGCTCGCTGCGCCTAAATCCTCATCACAAAATGGGGTGAATATGGGAAGCAGGTTTCTCATAGAGGTGGCTGGCAGGAGGACGGCAGGAGATATGACACGTAAGACATGCAGCAGGTGCTCACCGACTTCCTTCCCTTCCCTCTGCCCAGAGAACCTCAGTCCGAGCAGCACGTCTGGCGTAGTTCCAGGCCAAGATTGTCCCTCTGCCTCACCTGCTGTCCGCGGCAGGTCCAGTCTCATCTTACTTCCCCAGTGTTTACTGAGCACCATCCAGAAGGTTGTCTGTCACATCACCACACAGACGCTGGCTGCGTCCTGACCTCAAGGGTCGCCAGGCTAAAAGAGTCTTGCCCATTGCTCACATCTGGGGCTGGACACCTGCTGTGGGGCATGCTGCGCACTGCAGGATGTCGAGCAGCACCCTTGACCTCTCCCCACCCCAGCCCCAGTCTTGACAATCAAAAATGTTTCCAGGCATTGCCAAATGTCCCCTGGGGGCAGAATCACTGCCCTACAGGAACCACGAAGAACTAAGACAGGGAACCTGGAGGAGCTAGTGGTCCACGTGGGGCCTCTCCTGTCTGACCTGGCCACCTCTCCAGAGGGACATGGACAACTCAGTGCATCCACCCTGGAGGGCCCAGAAGGGCCAGGGCTGAGGGAGGCACACAACCTCTTATCTTGGGGTTTTATCCACCACCAACCCCAGTATTTAAACTTGAAGACTGACACGAAGGACGAGGCACCCGGCAGGTGCTTTCTGGGGAGGGAAAGGCCAGCTTTGGCTGGGGAAGAGGCACACCTCCTCCTGGAAATAGAGAAAACACACACAGTCAGGGACATGGCTTTATTAACAAACCCACTTTAACCGATAGTGTACACAGAGACCTGGGACAGCAGGGGCGTGACTGGGTGAGACAAGGCCACACACCTGTCATGGCCAAGGGAACTGGTCTGCTCAGAGTGCTCAGGCTGGGGTGAGGGCAGGCAGGGGACAGAGGCAGGGTGGGAGCTGCTGCTTTCAGTGGCAGGCATGGAGGCATGGACACAGCAGGAGCCAGGGCCAGGGCATGTGTACATGTGTGTCCAGTGTGTGTACATGTATATACATGGGCATGATGTACATAGTATCTACAGGAGCCCTCCTGGAATGATCTAGGGACAAGGTCAGGGATAAGATGCCCAAATCCCTACAGACCCCAGGGGCTGAAAAAGCATCAGGAGAGGGCACATCATAGTGTGTACTGAATGCCCAGAGCCTGTCCCGGTTCTGCCACTCCCAGGCCAGCTGTGTGACCTAGGGCAAGTTACTTACCCTCTCTGGGCCTCAGAAAAACTGACTAGATGATCACTAAGGTTCCCTGTGGTCGTGGTTCTAAACTTCGATATTTTTAGAGATTAAGATACAAAATGTGTTTGTTAAGAGGTGATGACAAGGGCCTTTGGTTTACAGGTTCAAAGCCCACATGCCTGAGTGTGTGGTGGTGGGACCCAGCACAGTCCAATCCTGGGCACAGCGAAAAGACCCACCATGAGCTTTTCTGCCCGACCTCTCTCGGGCTCAGCTCTGGCTCCCAGCTGCTCCTCCACGCCTCCCCACCACCATGGGTGAAGGCAGTGGGGCAGTGGGGCGGGCAGAGGCCAGGGCTGGGGACATAAGGTGCACCTCTCACCCTCTTTGTTTCCTAGTACACAGTGGGCCCAGTGCCCAATAGGTGTGTAAGAAATGCTTGAGGAAGAGCATTGTGGAGGACAGCCTGATTCTAGGTGGAGCTCTGTCCTGAACTAGCAAGGGGGCAGGGCTGGGGCCTGCAGGATGTCACTCTCCCCTCTGAGTCTGTCACGTCCTCTAAGCAATGGGGCGTGAAGGAGAAGCAGCCCTGGCCTGCTCACCCTGCACTTGTGCAAGGATCTGTAAACTGTGGAGCTGGGCGCGAAGGTCAGTGTCTAGCTGCAGATAGGCCATGGGAGTCCTGTCTGGAACCAGGGAGGAAGGCATCCCCAGCAGAGGCCATAGATCTAAACTGGCTAGAGCCTGGCCAGGGTGGGGTCACTAGGCTTTCACAGTATGACAATTTCCATTTCTACCGCTGCATGAGACAGGGAATCAGCCGCAATAACAAAGCACAGCCATCAGCCGCGGAACCGGGGAGGGGCGCTGGGAAGCGTGGTCGGGGGATGGACGTGGCCCCCTTCACAATGCAGATGCCCCTGGCTCAATGTCAGGGGCAGCTGGGGCCAACCTGTTGGGGGCGGAGGGGTGGAAACAGCTGAACCAGTGGGCAGGTGTTTCAGGATTGGGAGGAGGGTTCTCCCAGCTGCCACCTAAACCAAGCTGGGTTTTGTGCCGGGAGTGCGGAGACCTCTCCCATCTGGTTGTTGGTGTCGTGTTCATCCTGTGGCTTGCTCCATCTGAGGCAGGAATCCTGGCCTCTCTGGCATCAGCAATTCTTCCATCCCCAGGATAGGAAGGCTCCGACGTGGGTCTCTGCAGAAGTCCTGACGTCTCCCAGACTTGTCTCCCATCCTGCAAAGTTACGTCCTCCCATGGAGGTGCTGAAACCACAGGGGAGCCAACAACAGGACTCAGAGGGGAGGGCAAGAAGGCAGAAGAATGTACAGAGGCCAGCCCCTGGGGCCTCCTGTCTGGTGCCAGAGGTCTCTGAACAAGACTGCTGTTGGGGTCTCGTCGGGGGTCGCAGGCAGCGGGCATCTGGGGCCACCTCCCTTAAGGCACTGCCCAAGCCCTGCCCCAGCGTCCCTTCTGCTCACTGGATGGTGCATTTGTCCCTCTCGCGAGACTGGCCCTCCCGAAGGACCTTGGCCTTGATGTACTTGAGGTCACTGTTGACGCTGGGGCGGCGGGCGAAGGGCGAGACCATGCCGTAGGCATCCATCTCCTTGACGCGGCGCATGCAGAAGGGCCTGGGGTGGAAGGCGTCGCCGTACTGCACGGAGATCTTGCGGTGCAGGGCGGGGCTCATCTCGTGCGGCAGCTTGGCCATGCTGAAGAGCACGTAGAACATCTCGTCCACGTTGGTGTTCTTCTTGGCCGACACTTCGAAGTAGGCACAGTTCTCATCGCCCGACACCAGCAGCTCGGCCTCGGTGGCTGGCACCTGGCGGCACAGCTCGCCATGGTCATTCTTGTTGCCGCAGATGACCATGGGCAGCTCTGCCGCCTCCTTGGTCTTGTTCTTCAGGCAGGACTTGACCTCCAGGATCTGCTTCTGGAGGCGCTTGACCTCGTCAAAGGACTCCCGGTTATCCAGGCTGAACACCAGGATGAAGACGTCGCCTGTGGGGACAGAACCCCGGCGGTGAGCGCACGAGCAGACTGCTGACCTCCCTCCCCGCACCCTCTGCCACAGAATGTCAGTCCCAACAGCTGACACGTACCATGCGCTGAGCCCTTTGCCCTCACGGCAATTCGTGGGCAGCTGCTATTATTCTCCCCATTTTCCAGAGCAGGAAACTGAGGCTCAGAGGCACATAGAACCTGTCTAAGTCGGCCTCCTTGGCTGCACCGCGGGCCTAACCTCATGCCCCCCCAGCATGGCTGTGAGGACTGCAAGGAAGTGAGTGGGGAGGCAGGCTTCCAGCACAAGGTGGGCACTGCATGGGTGTCAGCTCACCCAGCCTTGGGGAGGGGGCTGGCTGCCTGCTGATAAAAATAAGGCTAATGTCAGAGGGAGACAATGGAGAGGGACCATGTGCATATTTTCAGTCACACAGATCATATACGAACACACCCTCCTTCAAGCACTACACGAGGGTAAAGCCCTTTTGACCCATGTCCCCAATCCCAAGCTCCTGCCCCCACCCGCAGAGATGGTCACCCCATCAGTCTGGTGTGGATTCTTCTGGGCCCTCCATGAACACAGTGACATTCATATTTGCACCCCCATAATAGCGAGTTTTTTTTTTGTCCGTTTCTCTGTTTATTCCATGCACGTATTATTCTGAGCACATCTGTCTGCTGCTTGCTTTCTTCGCTCCCCAGCCTGTGCCTCATTTTCCAACCTGGTGCTGGTGCACAGGTGTCAATAATGACAATGACAAGAAGCACCTGCTGAGAGCCAAGCATTATTGACACCAAAGATTGCTGAGCATGTGCCACTCTCCATTTATCAGCTTGTAAAACCCTCAAAATAACCCCGTTAGGCAGTATTTCATCTGCGTGGGACAGATGGGGAAACTGAGGTGTAGAGAGCTACGCAGCTAATAAGTGGAGACGGCAAGACCCAAACGATGCACTGAGCCAGCCAAGCAAGACCCCGACTCTCTGGAAATTACATTTATTATTACCGTACCTCAGTCCGCACAAGTCACTCACCCTGTCCCCAGCCCGGCAAGGAAATATGAAGTGAATTAACTGTACTTGAACCAGGCTGTGCCACATATCAGCTATGTGACCTTGACTCCTCACAACACCTCTGTGAGGGAGATTTTACCTTCATGTTATAGGTGAGCATGCTGAGGCTCAGAGAGGCCAAGCAACCTGCCCAAGATCACACAGCCTAACTGTGGCTAAGCTGAGGTTCCAACCCGAGTCTGTCCTCACCTAGCCCATGCCCAGCACCCAGTAGGTGCTCTCTCCCTCTTGACTGAATCATGGGATGAATCCATGAACACTGGCCTCTGAGGCCCACGCTATCTCTACTATAACTCACTGTGTCACTCAAGTCAGGGTCTGGAGTCTGCACCAGGGACTGGTGTGCAGATGTTAGGGGCAGCGGGGAGGGTGTGTGGACTGGTGCCTCCATCCCAATTTCCAGATTTTACTACAGTGATCACAATCTCATTCTCAAAGCACCTTCCTCACTTTTGCCTAAACTTTGTGGTATATATACAAGATCCCCCTTTCACAGATGAGGAAACTGAGGCTCAGAGGGCCAGCAACTGGCTGATGTTCTTCAGAGGAGAATCAAGCAATTCCAGCTTCTGGCAGAACTGCTGTCTCCTTCCTCCGGACCCCCAGAGCACACCATTCATCCCCCCATAACAGCACATGCCACACTCAGAACAGAGCTCCGGCCAAGGGTGTGCTGACAGAGAGTTCTGGAGCAGACGAGGACTGCCTCACCCCTCATCCCCGTCCCCCGGGCCTGGCACACAACGGGTGTTCAGTGAGGCTGGCTGAACGGCTAGGAGACAACAGAGTGAATTACAGCGCAGGCTGTTCTGAAAGGCACTTACTTGCAAGGCAGCGTCAGCCTGGCGACTGCTTTCGCTTGGGCTGCCAAACCCCATCCCATTAGGCTAATCCTGGGCCCCTGAGGACTCAGTGGCCTTGACACATTCAAATGTGAGACTACGATGCCAAGTAGCAGAGACCAGCCTGGCTGGCAGCTGGAAGGGGAGCTGGCAGTGGAATTAATGGCTTTCAGAATTTCCTGCGCACCAGCATGAGGTTGGAAAATGAGGCACAGGTTACAGATGTGCTCAGAATGATATGTGCACATAATAAATAAGGAGACAGACCAAAGCACTGTCTGTTATGGGGATACAAATATGAATGTCACTGTGTTCATGGAGGGCCCAGAAGCATACCCACCAGACTGATGGGGTGGCCACCTCAGGGGGGCGAGGGAGGGCAGGCAGGAGCCTGGGATTGGGGACATGGGTCAAAAGGGCTTTAGCCTTATGTGTGTTTGAAGGAGAGTGTGTTCATGTATGATCTGTGCGATTTAAAATACGCACGTGGTCCCTCTCCACATGTGCTATCTCCCTCTCTCTGACATTAGCCTGATTTATGTCAGCGGGCAGCCAGTCCCCTCCCCGAGGTAGGGTGAGCTGACACCATGACACCCATTGTGTGCTAGAAGCACCACCCCCGTGTTTTGTTGCAGTCCTCACAGCCACGCTGGGGGGCTGTGAGGTTAGACCTGCTGTGCAGCCGAGGAGGCCGACTCAGACAGGTTCTATGTGCCTCTGAGCACACATCTAAGCTACCAAGTGGCAGAGCCAGTATCTACCCAGGGACCCTCTGTCTACACAGTCCCCCTCCAAACTATGGGGTGGGGGTGAGGGGGCGGGGCCCCAGTGCAGTCTGGGTCAGATGGAGTACAAAGACAGTCTGGAAGATGAAGCCGTAGAAGAGGAAGCCATCTGCCCAGGGCACTCACGAAGGGGCCACGTTCACAGCTTCAGTCTCAGCCGGGGGTGGGTGGGGGGTGGGGGGCATGGCAGGGTTTCTTGGTGTAGAAGTATCTCAGTGGGGGGTTATTTTAATGATGGCTGGAAAGTTCCCTTCCCTCCCCTCTCCTTCTCCATGCCCAGCAACGGGAGTGGCACAGCTTGGGAAATGACTGTGTAGCGTATAGCAGGAACACTGTAAGTGCTGACTCAATTTAAGACCGACACTTATTGAGCACGTATTGTCGGCTCATCAAGCACTTTATGTATCTTAACTCATTTATTTCTCACCATGACCCATGAGATGGGTGTTAATGTGATGCCAATTTTACAGATGAGAAAACTGAGGCACAAAGAGATAATGTCACTTGCCCTGCAGTACAAAACGAGGAAGCTGTGGAACCAGGAGACCCAGGCAGACGGGCTCTGGACCTGCCCTCTTAGCACCGCACTAAACTGCCTGCAGTAATGTGAGTGATAACTCGGTCCCCCGTCTCCACTGTCCCTTCATCTCCTGCAATTTTCCTATCCTTCCCTCCTGCTCCCAGCAGAGACTGAGAGGTGACAGGATAGCTCAGTGGTAAAGCCTGAGAGCCAGACTGCTGTTGACAAGCCGTGTTACCATCTGGAGTAAATTCCTTAACTCCTCTGGGCCTCAGTTTCCCCAGCTGTAAAATGGAAGCAAATACCTATCTTCTAGGGCAGTTGTAAGGATCATATAAACACATGCCAAGCTCTAAGAATGGGGCCAGGCCTATGGCTCTTGGTCAGTGTTAGCTAACAGTTATTACCACCAAGCCCCCTTCCCTCTGGCTGGCCATGACCTGGGTGCTGCCCTTACCTCTCTGAGAGGCAGTGAAGGCCTGGGGTGTCAGGAGACCTGAGCCCAAGACCTCTGCTGGGTCACCTCCCGGAGGAGGAAGGCAGCAGCCTTGACCCCATTCTGTCCCCTGCAGAGGAATAACTCAGTGCATGTGTGTATCAGTTCCTGATCTGGGAGGCAGTACCAGCAGTCATGAGTAATCAGTCCAGAGGGAAACTGAAGGGATCTGGGGCCCTGACTCCATCGCTAGTTGGGGCAACAGCAATACCCTTCTGAGCCTCACTGTGCGAGGGGCTTGCTGTGAGCTTCATCTCAGCTGACAGATACGTGAGCATTCTGCAAACTGTAGAGTGCCAAGCACACACGCCACACCTTCCACACCCATCTCCCATCCCTGCCATCCATCCCAGCAGCGGCGGGCCTCACCTGTGAGGATGGAGAGCCTGCGCATGGCGGGAAAGGGGTGGTTGCCCGAGGTATCCAGGATGTCAAGTTGGTACATGTCGCCACGGATGTTGTACACCTTGCGATGGAAGTCCTCGATGGTGGGTGTGTACTGGTCCTCGAAGCGGCCATTGAGGAAGCGCGAGACAATGGAGCTCTTGCCCACCCTCGAGGCGCCCAGCACCACCATGCGGTAGGAGTTCTTAGCAGGCACACTAAGCGTGCAGTTCCCGCTGGACAAGGTCTTCATCATGGCTCGGGGCTGTGACAAAAAGCAAGGAGAGCAAGTGTCAGGAGGCCCTCAACCCATTCGGCCACCGTTGGCCTCCTCTCAGTGGCCCATCTGGGTCTCAGTTTTTTGTCTGTAAAATGGGCACGTTGGACTGGGTTCTCTCTAAGGGGCCTTGGAGTTCTACCCACTCACTCATTTGCACCTTCTCTTATGTCTTTACTCCTTCATTCATCCACTCGCTCACTCATTCACCCTTCCATTCATTCATCCCCTTATTAATCCGAGCACTGGACTGCTGGGATTTGAATCCTCACTTTACCACTAACTACTGATCTAGATCTAAGGCAAGTAGTTAATCTCTTTAGGAGTCACTTTTCTCATCTATAAAATGAGCCCAACTCATAGGGTTATTGCAAAAGGCTCAGCACATGGCGAAATCTCAAAAATGTTAAATCCTGTTAGAATCCCTTCTTCCTCTGATCCATCCTTTCCAACTCTGGCTTGCCAGGAGCCTGTGATTCTAGGCCATGACATGGGGAAGGCACTAGTGTGCATTTCTTAAACCCGGGGGTCTGGGGCCACTCAGCCCTCCCGGGAAGGAGGGAAAGGCTATGTCCAGACCACACCGTCCCAGCCTGTGCCCAGGGTTGCTCCTGCAGCTGCATCAGGAGGACCCACCTCTGGAGCTGTGCTTTCCATCTGGTGGGCTCCCTCCTACCCACAGCCCACCAGCCAGCCTCTCTGGGTCCTGCCCGGAGATTGTCACCTTCCAGGCCCTGGAGTTCTCTTGCCTCCAGGAGACGCAGAGGCCTGGACTAGAGGATGTGGACAAGGGAATGACCCACGGGCCACTCAAGCTTGATTCACAGCTCTAGGAGTTAATGGTTCTGAGGCAAACCTAGAACTTTCTATGGGAGCCTCTTGGCCTTGTGGAAGAGGCTGAAATGGATCCAGGCTCTAAACCTCAAGTGGAGATCAGCAAACCTCCACAGGCTCCATCAGCCCCACCCCAAAGGCCATCAACAGCCCACCCTCCTGTCCTATCTCAGGACCTACCAGAATCTCCCCAGAACCCCTGACCCCAACGGCCCTAGTTAGTGTGAGCTCTGCTGAGACCTGCCTCCACTCTTTTGCTCATGCCAGTCCCTTCACCAGAACACCCTCCTCCCCTCACACTTCAGGGTCTGGCTCAAATGCCATCTCCTCTCTGAAGGCTTCCCTGATTCCCCTACCCCAGCAGTAATCTCCTCTCCCTAGAGGGGACCTTGCCAACCCTACAACTGCAAATGGGCACAGGCCTGATGGGACATTGATCCCCTTGGCTCTTGGCAGGGTGCCACAGGTTGTGCAGGTTGGGCACTGCACAAGGAACCTGGCTGGGTGGGCAAGTGGGGGCTGCATCCCAGAGGAAGGGGTGTCTCTGTGTAGTTCACCTGCTCAGAGAAGGCACTGTTTTTCAATTCACACAGATGGCTGTATGTGCAAAGACTTGGTCCCCACCTCTGGATGCCCCAAGCAGCCCCAAGTGCCTCACCCATCCACCCCAATGCATTCTCCAACGCCATCACATTCTGTCTATCATGATGCTAAAAGAGTCTGAGTGAGTCTTCTGACACGTGTCCATATCTCTCACCCCTGCCCAACTAAGAGCCCCTGTGCAGTAAACTGGCTCTCAAAACGTCTTTTTCAAAAGCCCTGATTGGTAGCGTTTGTCAATTTCTGTGGCATTAAACACTCCCACCACAGCCAATTCTGAGCTACCACCATGACCTCAGGTGAGTGAAGTGCGAAGACGCACACAATAAGCCAGCCCAGCACACTGCTGACCCACGACCACAATCACCACTAACCAAGCCCTTGCAGTGTGCCAAGTACTGCGCTTAGTACGGAAATAATGATAGCTGACATTTCTTTTGAAGTCAACATATGCCATAATGTTCTAAATGCTGTACATACATTAACCTGCTTCATCCTTAGTAACCCCAGAAGGTAGGTAGTGTTATCCTCTGACTTACAGATGAGGAAACTGAGGCACAGGGTTAAGTTACCTGCTCACAGTTACACGGCCAGTAACCAGCAGAGGAGGGGTCTGAGCCCAGGCAGTCTGCACTGTGCTATGGAGACCACCTCCCTAGGAGGTGCGTATTATTTTTCCTGTTTCACAAATAAGGACCCTGTGATGTCCAAAGGCCTATGTGGCCAGCCCGTTCAGTTAATAAGGGAGCCTGGGTGGTGACCTCAGGCCTAAGACCCCATACCCCTCCACTCAGTTCATGCCCAAAGCCATCGTTGAATTTATCCCATAGAATTGTAGTACCCTGTACACAGCAGGTGCTCAATAAATGACCCACGGATGAATCAAATGGCAAATGGCTCTGCTTTGGGGCTTGCCTAAGGCCCTCCTCTGGGATCTTGTCCCCATCTGGCTGGCCCAGGGACTGTGCTGAGGAGGGCCCTCCCCCACAGGCAGTGCTGCTGAGGTGCCCTGGCACTGCATACCCGTGGGTGGGCAGTGGGGACGGGGGGCTGCAAGGCCAACACAGAGCCCTTCTCGTCTCCTACAGGGCTGCTGAGCTCCTTCAGAGATGGGGGAAAGAGGCCTTACCCTGTGACAGCCCCCTCCCCACGTCTCTCTGCAGGGAGCATGACTCTGCTGGCGGTCACCTCTGTCTAGACAGGGGAGAGGAGAGGAGCCAGCAGCCCCCAGGGACAGTGTTTGTCTCATCATCGCCCCGCTCCAGCCTCCAGTCCAGATCTCCCGGTATGGACGAGCTCATATCAATGACTGAATGGGCTGGAGGGGGTCAGAGAGAGGAGCAGGAAATCAGAGAGAGGAGGCAGAGTCAGAGGGAAAGAAGGAGAAAAAAAACCCACGGCTTTCTTCTGTGAGAGAAGACAGTCTTCACATGGCCCCAGCCACGTGGGGCTGTGAGAGGCACCCAGACACCTGGACACCAGGTGACAGCGCCTCCGTGGGCTCCGCCTCCCTCCCCCGCATCTTTCTCCCCTCTCCTCCCCCAGAGGAGGCACTGTGGGCAGCGTCTCTCCTCTGCTGCCTGCTTTCCTTTCTCCATCTTTGGCTAGGCTGACCCCACACAGTAAGGAGCGGCAGGGGTCAGAGTTTGAAGGGCTCTGGGGAGTTCAGAGTCCAACCTTGGGGACCCATACAGGTGGAAGTTTCCAGGGGGACCACTAGTGCACAGGTGCCCGAATGCACCTGGATGAAGTACTGTAACTGCTGACCCCACCACAGGGCCATTCTGAGGGTGGCTGGGAGGCAGAATGTCCCCTGAGCAGAGATGGGGTGGGGTTGTCCTGGGAGAAAAGTCACCACAGCCAGGCAGGCATCCATCATGCAGGAAGTGTGCCTTATACCAATGACTTCACAACGTCCCATGAGGAGGGGACCACCGTCAACCCACTGGACTGATGGGGACACTGAAGCTCAGAGAGGCTGAGTCACTTGCCCAGTTCACAAAGCAGATGACTGGCTGGGCTGGGATTAGAACCAGGCCGTTTGGCTCCAAAGCCTGGCCTCTTAACTCTATGAAAACCCACCCCCTGGCCGAAACTGGAGTCTTTTTCAAGAGTGACTCAGTGAAGCCTCAGCTGAGGTCAGGCGGGGGAATGACCCCTGAGGCATATTATATTCTCATCCCCTCTCTGTCTCCCTACAGGCAGCTGGGGGCAGGCACTCCACCCAGGACTCTCCTCAAAACCCTGCCAGCCGGCTCCCAGCAAGTGCATCTGTGGATTCAGCCCTTCTTCTGCCTTAAGCCTCTACCCCAGGGTCTGCCTGGATGATGGAGGGTCAGATGGGAAAGAACAGCAGGATGACAGTCTGGGCATGTCCTCCCAGAGGGGACCCCAGAGCTGTGCCCCTCCACTAGTGCACAACCAGCCTCTCTGGACACACACGTTGCAGTCATTGGCCTCCATCCCCTGCACTAAGGGGAGTCCGGGGGGCATTGCAAAGCCAACCTCACCACCCTTGGCAGCTCAGGATGGTGGAAAGCAGGCAGGCATCAGCTCAGGCAGACCAGCTCTGCCTCTCACCAGCCCGGCAACCTTGGGCAAATGGCTCAGCCTAGTGGGGCTCGGGTTCTTGCTCTGTTAAATGCTCATGGTAGAAACAGACCCATAGTGTAGCCCTGAGGGTTCCACGACAACTCAAGAGTCTGACGCAGCTCCTGGCACACAGCAAGCGTTAACAAATGCTGGGTACCTTTCTTTGTGGCACTTTCTCTTGGCAGTCGTGAGGTTGCCTGGAGCCAGGTGGGGAGGGACTGGACTGCAGGCTGAGGTCTTGTAAGGACCCCATCTCGTCTCTCTGACACCAGGGGAAGCCTGAATAATGTGCTCCTGAGCTGGCTGCCCATTCTGAGACCGGCCTCCCACCTCCCTGAACAACATCCTTCATCGGCCTCCCAGGGCTGGGAGCAGGGAAGAGGTGGGACAGAGGGGCCCCCGGGGCTGCCGGGGAGCCCTTCGCCCAGCTGAGTACAGGAAAGTCTTCCCGGGAAGAGAATTATCCAAGAAACTCACTCTTTGCACCAACCCAGAAAAAAAGCTCAAGCAACTCGATAAGAAAGCGACCCCTCAATCTTCCTTCCTAAAAGGAGGTCTTTGCCAGGGCTGGGGTGGCTACCAAGTGGCCCCATGCCAGCAACCCCGCCCCCTCCACCCAGGGCTGCAGGCTGCAGGTGGCTCCAGAAGGGAGGTGGGAGTGTTTGGGGAAGGTAAGTGCCTCTTCCTCCCTGAGCCTCAATTTCCTCATACTTACATGGGCTATTACTCCGGATTTCTTAAATGGAAGCCCCTCGCATATAGCAGAAGCTCAATAAATCTTTCTTTCCTGGCATAAGTAAAGGGTCTAAGCACGAAAAAAAAAGTTGCCAGACGATCGTGGCACATAATAGGTGCTTAAGCAATTTAACTTTCCCTAGACATGTAAAACCTCACTGAGTCTTCCTCCGACGAGCCTCTACCCTTTCTTCCCGCTACCCCACTTCGCCCAGCTC